GGAATTAAACTCAATGGCTTACTTGCCTCTCTCCATCCATTGTATCATGAGAAAGAAGGGAACACAGCATGTTGCGCTCTCGACTATGTTCCTAAAGTTACGTTAAAAATAATACTGCAGTCACAGGCAGGCATTCAATGTATTGTTTTTGTACTGAGTATGCATTTTAGAAAAAATACAATTAAAGCTCTTACATTTCCTTGTGCACAACTCTTTTCACATAATCAGGGTCTCGGTGTTTAAAAAATGTATCTATAAGAAAAATGTTCTTTTTAATTTTTTTATTTATTGATTTTAGAGAGAAAGGAAAAGAGAGAGAGAGAAAAACATGGATTTGTTGTTCCACTTATCTATGCATTCATCGGTTGATTCTTGTGTGTGCCCTGACAGGGGATCAAACCCGCAAGCAACCTTGGTGACTCGGATGATGCTTTTTTTTTTAAAGGTACACTACCTTTATTTACTTATTTTTAATCCTCACTTGAGGATATGTTTATTGATTTTTTTTAAGAGAGAGAGGAAGGGAAAGAGAGAGATAAATATCGATGTGAAAGAGAAACATCTATCGGTTGCCTCCTGTCTAGGGATTGAATCCCAACCTAGGTATGTGTCCTGACTGGGAATCGAACCTGCAACCTTTTTGGTGTATGGGACAACACTCCAACCAACTGAACTACCCATCCAGGGCAAGATAAATATTCTTTATGATAGCCCTGGCTGCAAGCAAAGGTTGCAGATGGTGATGAAGATTTTAGTTAAATTCGGCTGCCAAAGAAAATGATTTCATATTATCATCAATCTCTATTTGTAGTGAAGCTCCTGCCCACTTTCAATCTAATCTTCCCTACTATCTTCTAGCTTACAAAAGTACAAGAACAATTATTAATGTGTGAACAAAATAATAAAATATTGAATGCATAGGCAGCTTATGTACCACTTTCACACATACTATCTCACTTGACAAAATTACCAATGTCTTATCATTAACAGAAAGTTTGACATCTTTATAGTTTTTCCTGATCTATTATTCCTGCCATTTCTTGCCCCTGTCTTTTATACCCTTAAAACAATTAGAAACCAAAATGCCAAACCTGAATATTCCCTGGATATGAACGTCATATCCTAAATATATTCACAAAAATAACCTAAGAACCCAAATTAACTGACTGTGAGGAAAAAAATTAGAATAAGTGCCAATTATCTTTCAGGAGCTTTCTACCGAACAGGTACAAGCCACATGGAGTAGGTGAAAATGAAATGGGGATTGAAGACATGATTCCGTTCTCAACCGAAAATACACTCATTCTCAAGGCAAAATGCGGCTCCTTGAACTATTCTTAGACCAACACAACATATCGGGTGAACAGTAACAATTTAAGTAAATGAAAAGAAGTAAGAAAAGAAAGGGTGCTAAAATATCACCGAAATAGGACAGAATTATTGGAAACTTGAAAATTAGCCATTAAAATCTCTTCCTGGAGATGAGCCTTGTTCAAAGTTAAGAAATAGTTTTAAGTGATCACGAGTGGACAGACGAGTCATTCAAAGCATGCAGCCAGTGTAATAGTATACAAATTACCAGGGCACTGACTTTGATGCAAAGGGTTTGTGTAATTGTCAAGTAATTTGGAGCAGTGGGCATTATTTAGCCTTCAAGAATATTGAGTAATACAACTGAAATAAACATGGAACATTAAATACCTCGTTAGAATTTTAACAATCATCGTGGATATGATTAAATTTCATCTTTAGTTTGGTCCAACTTTCCTAAGTTGTTTGAACTCTGAAAAGAAACTCAGGATAAGATGTGTCCCAGTTGCCTTCATCATGAAATTGTAGGTCAGGCACATCTTGCAAAGGAAGTCACAGCTTGCCTATTTATAAATGTATTCCTCTTAATAACAATTGGCTGGGATATGTGACAATGTTTCTCACATTATTATATGCCCAGGGCAGTTTTAGCTGTCGCATTGCTTCATACATAGATATGGCTGCATATTGTGGCCAATAGAAGAAAGTAACCATAGCATCCTTATGCTAAGCAATGTGAACTTCATATGTAAAGCTTAATCTAACTGATCTAAAGTCACCAACTAATTAATGGGGGCGGGGGGGAGGAGGCCAGAGATAAAATAAAGAGAATCAAAATAGCTTTTTGGTTTATGCAGATAAAACCACCAGGCACTTACCTAAATTTTTTGTTTTCTACTAAACATAACATTTTAGGCCAATAGCTTTCAAATTTCTTTGGCCTCAACCCACAGTAAGAAATACATTTTACATCACAGTCGGCACACACAGCAGGTATAATTAAAACAATTTTCAGGAAACAAAACCCACCCTACCAAATATTATGCACTCTGATATTTTCTATTATATTCTTTTCCATTTCATTCCCCTAAAAAAAAATGTTCTAGTCTAGACTCACTAAACTGATGTCATGATTCTGTGGGTCATACATAACAAGTACTTTGAAAACACTGCCTTTGGCCCCCGAAACTTTTGATAACTACTGAAGAAAGTTAAAGGTCCCTAAAAGGGTTTCTTCAATTCTTTTATTGTATCCTGTGTTATTCAAAGGGAAAAATATTAACTAATATTTTCAATAATATTAAATAAACACTTGCATAGACCTCTCTCTTCCTCCCTGGGTCATAAGAGGTAGAATTCAAACAAAAGAGGAAGGATGTTATGGGAAAGACACTACAAAGGAAAAATCACCCTAAAACGAATTTCCACAAAGAATCCTACTTGCGTGAAATTTTTACTTTTTGAAAAAGTTCCTTGTCATTTTTTTTATAATACTCTAAAAGTATTTGAATATTATCTGTTGTAAAAAGTTTAAGATGGGGCACATTATAGGGATATTATTTGCCTCTGGGATGATGAACGATTTTGAATAAAATGTGATCCCCCTTTTATTTGACCAAGCTCACTTTGTAATTATTAGCAAGGCAGTAAATAATCCACGGAGGAGCAGCCTCATTAGTGCCCATTGAAATGCGGCGGCATTAATTTGCAATAAAAGAACTGAAAATTAATGGGAAAGAAAATAGTTTCTGGAGTCCATCCTGAGGTTATGGAATTCACACCCTGAGCAGAGCCTTCCTTTGCATCAAGGGGTTTTAAAATGTGTGTGAATTAGATGTAATCGTTGTATTTTGTTCTAACACTTGTTTTTTATAAAGTGGGCAGAATAACTTCTTTTTCCCTTTTCATTTTAACCCTGAAATAAAACAAGGGAAAGGAGTCTGCAATCGGCTTTGTTCAAGCCTGGTTCCTTTTTAAGTTTTGAAAGTGTTGCCTGCTTGTCTCTGAAGTAGTAACTCAGGCTGGTCTTGTCTGGCTATGAGGTGCTTGAACATCCTTGGGGCGGGGGCAGGCCTGAAGGATAGGGGGTAAGTTCAGACACCCCAAAAACCTGCCCTCGGGATCTTCTGGGACCAATCTGCACCCTCCTCTGGTTCTTCCGCTATCGATTTCTCTGGAGACAGAGCACTGAATAGAAAGTCCACAGCTTGCGTGCAGAAGGCTCTGGGTGAGGGAGGAGGCACACCTGACAGCCAGGGACAGTCAGGCACTGCCTAGCTCAGCACCAGCCACCACGTGGGCCCTGAGGCTTCCCAACCCCATTCCAGGGCATCCCTGTCCTGTGGGGCCCGGGGCGCGCTGATTCACCAGCAACACCCACCCAACCCCTCCCTGGTCCATCAGGAAGAGAAGGGAGAAACTATCAAAGCGAAAATGGGAGGGAGGGGGAAGGAGGAACGTATATTCTCTACTAGAGGAAAACATAAGGACACAAAGCATTTGCTACTTGAGTCACAGGCGCGCCTGTGTACCCTGACCGGCTAGGCTTCTGCCACAGGGACGGAAAGGGGCAGCAGGGACCCGCACTGGGCTCCTGGGGCCTTCTTTGCCCTGTGGGCCTGCAATAGGCTTTCGCTGGCAGAGGGGTGTTTCAAAAACACGCCTGCTTCCAAATGGCATGTTTCAGACTCACGGGCTGCCTTAGTCCTGGCTGCCCTGAGTCATAGTCCAGCAACCTGCTCCAACAGGACTCAGCTAGAGAACGCAGAACCCAGAAACTTAAGACCCATTCAATTCCTGCACTGCTCTCTGAGGGTTCAGTTCATTCAAGCCCTGAACCCAGGGCCCGGGGGAGGACAGACAGACAGACGCTGCTAGGAATTGCTGCCCCCAAAACCACCACCACCATCATCATCATCATCATCATCTTTCCGATCCGAAATTCTAGATGAAAGGAACTTTTCCAAGCACATTAAAATGTTAAAATCATCATGAACAAATAAAAACGGAGCTCCCCTAGCCACCGCCGCCTCCAGCCTGAGATACCACAGCGGGACATTGAGGAGGGACTCAAAGCGCCCTGTGCTCCTTTGCTTTGGGGTGCTCGCCCCACAAACGACTGAGGCTTTGTGAGGTTTCCACTATTTGTTTGGTTAGGAAGCACACGGGGTTTCGGATCTGACTCTCAGGCAGACAGTAGTGGGGTGGAGAAGGGGAAAAAAAAATTTTTTTCTAAGCTGCCAAGCTAGAGAACTTGACTCTGCAAAGCCAGATCCACAAGGACGCCCAGGCGGGGCTGCGCTAGCCCTCGGGCGAGTC